AAAATCACAGTCCATATGATTTTGTCACGGGTAAGAAAGATTATTGCGGTATTTAAAAAAATTATTGGACCACTTGACAGTTTTGCCACAGAGGTAGAAATACTCCTTGTCTCAATTTATAGAATGATTTGATGTTTTCTAATATAAAATGTTTTGAGAAAAATAATAATTTATTAATGATGTTTATTTCAAAATTACTTCTTATTATTATTTTTATTTCTCCAAAGTACCTCTAGTGTGAGTGCCACATACTAATCCTTTGAAATACTAGGAATTCCATTTAAAGGGCTGACTTTTCTTAACAAATTCTTTTCCATAATTAAAAAGGGACTAAGAATTGAACCCTTGTTACATGCTTAAAGGGACTGAGATAACTAATCATCCATACTACCACTACAAAAAAATTGACTTTGTCATTGCTGAAAGTCAAAAAGTTACCGTTGAAAGTTTTCAGCGGTGACAAAAAGTCGCCACAATATCCCCGTGAGAGCTTCTGTCACTGATTCAATTTGCGGCGACGAAAAAAATCGCCACTGAAAGTTGAGAATCTGCAGCGACATTTTTCGCCACTGAAAGTTTTCAGCGGCGACAAAAAGTCGCCACAATGTCGCCGCGAGAGTTCTTGTTGCTGATTCAATCTGCGGTAATAATAAAAGTCGTCGTTGAAAGTTGAGAATCAGTGATGACAATTGTCACTGCAAAAACCACGCATTAGCGATGACTATTTCTGTCACCGCTGAATGTTAAGTATCAATGGCGACAGTTATCGTCGCTGAAGCTACCAAAAAGTTATCATTGAAAAGTAATGTTGGTTCACTTACACACATGGCACCACGTCACCGTCCATGTGGCGCCCCACCTCACGCAATGTGGCACCATGTCACCCTCCACACAGGGCCCTACCTCGCACCACGTGACGCCATGTCATCCTCCATGTGTCGCCCCTCACCTCACGCCACATGGCCCCATGTCGCTCTCACCACACGTCGCGTGTCATCATGTCATCAATTTATATTTTCATTTTGAAAGTTATCTCATCCAAGGTTTGAACCCATGACCTCCTCCCTTTGTGTCCAACCATTTTGCCATTGAGCTGAAATGAACCTATAGTTTATTATTGCATAATTAAATACACACACACACACACATATTATTAAACTATACAAACACACACATATATTAAATATTAAATATTATAAAATATCATTACTATCCTTAAATACTTCAATTTAATTCTTTCAATTTATAAAATTATAAATTATATTATTTATTTTGTTTAAAGTAAACTATAAATATAATTAATGCAATATAATTTGTATTATTTATTTTAATTTTTTTTACTTCTTGAGGTTGTTATATTATTTATTTTAATATTCATATTTATAATTATAATATAAAAAATATCTAAGAATAAGTAGTAAAAATAATGATGATTATATATTAGTAAAAAAATTATAAAAATGAAGACAATCAGCGGCGACACTAAAAAGTCACCGCTGAAACTTGCAACATAATTTTTTTAAAATAAATAAAAAAAATACTGACAATCAGCGGCGACATTAAAAAGTCGCCGCTGAAAATCAACTTTCAGTGACAACTTGTATGTCGCCGTTGAAACTTGTAACATAATTTTTTTAAAACAAATAAAAAATGTTGAATCAACTTTTAGCGGCGACTTTTTAGTGTGGCCGCTGAAACTTGCAACATAATTTTAAAAAAAATTATAAAAATGGCCAAACCTTTCACATTTATAACAAACTATTCCTATTTTATATTTTTTAAAATTATCTTTTCTAAAGGTTATATAATATTAATTATTTGTCCATATGTTAAAACAGTAGAATTTATTGTTCTTTGTTATAACTAGTAAAATAAAAGCAGAAGAAAATATAGAAAATGAAATAGATAGCACCCCTTTTGAAATAAATAAAAAAGATACATGAACATAATATCACATATAACTTATAAAAAAGTAATATTGCCAAGTAAGTTTAGTAACAAATAGAAAATATTTAAGGAATATAATATTCAAAAATCCTGTGAAAGAATAGGAAAGTTGGGCAATGGTGTTCCTATTAAGCCTAGGAAGAACAATATCAATAGAAAATAAAACTTGTAGAAATAGAAATATGAGATGGTTCGATAAGATATTAGGATCTAAGTCAAAAAAGAAGAATAAAATAAGTCTTAAGAGTCTTAGTCTATAGCCAAATAGGAATAGTGAACTTGAAAGAAAAGTAAAAGAGGTAGAAATAAAAAAATACATTATAAAAGAATTGAAGAACAAATAGAAATCTCAAAAATAAAAAATAGAATAAATTAAATAAGAGAAAAATTTAAAAGAGATATTTGTACAGAATATCCAAATTCTTTTTGAAATAGAAAAAGATACAAAAAATCACGGGTGAAAAACAAATATGACAAAAGAAGAAAAAGAAAAAGCAAAAGAAATACAAGAGTTAAATTTTGTCAAAAAATAATTTAAGCACAAAAAAAAAGTAATTAAGTGAAGCAAATCAAAAGAGCTAATTTAACCATGATTTTTCTAAACTTCTATAAAATCAGAAGACTTCTGATTTTACAGGCATTGAGTTAAATGGCCCCTTCTCTATCTCTTAATATAAACCTCTCTCCACTTGTAATATTACAAGATATGTATGTGTATCTATGCATACATACATACGTACGTACGTACGTACAACTTGGTTAAATAAAGGAAAATGGAAATAAATTAAAATTTAAATAAAAAGAACATCATGAAATTGGTAAAACAAAAATATATTTTTTCCTATAAAAAATATTTCAATCTAATTTTGAAAACACAAAAAAACGCTGACAATCAGCAGCGACACAAAAAAGTCGCCGTTGAAAGTGAAAGTCGACTTTCAGCGGCGATTTGTATGTCGCCGCTGAAACTTGCAACATAATTTTTTTAAAACAAATAAAAAAATGCTGACAATCAGCGGCGACTTGTATGTCGTCACTGAAACTTGCAACATAATTTTTTTAAAAGAAATTAAAAATGCTGACAATCAGCGGTGACTTGTATGTCGCTGCTGAAACTTGCAACATAATTTTTTTAAAAGAAATTAAAAATGTTGACAATCAGTGGTGACACTAAAAAGTCACTGCTGAAAGTCAACTTTCAACGACGACTTGTATCTTGCCGCTAAAACTTGCAACATAATTTTTTTAAAACAAATAAAAAAATGCTAACAATTATTGGCGACACTAAAAAGTCACCGCTGAAAGTCAACTTTCAATGGCGACTTGTATGTTGTCGCTGCAACTTGCAACATAATTTTTTTAAAAGAAATAAAAAATGTTGACAATCGACTTTTAGCGGTGACTTTTTAGTGTCGCTGCTGAAACTTGCAACATAATTTTTAAAAAAAAAAAAAAAGCTAACAATCAACGGCGACATTAAAAAGTCACTGCTGATTCTCGACTTTCAGCGGCGACTTGTATGTTACTGCTGAAACTTGCAACATAATTTTTTTAAAAAAATTATAACATATTTTAAAAAATGCTGACAATCAGCAGCGACTATATCTTGTCGCCGCTAAAAATCATTTTTTTTGTAGTGTACACCTTGTTAGTTTATCCTTTATTATTTGATTCATTAAATATCTTTTTTTTTCTTCGCTCCTTTATTAAATGGAGTGTATTTTTTTTAAAAAATTATATTTATTTATAAAATGTTAAGATTCCAAATGTATCTTATTGACTTAATAATTGGCATTTATAATTTTTCCAAAAAATATTTTATAAAACACGGTGGCGGGAGTACTATACGTAAGATGTGATGGGCATTAGACATTTTGATAAAAATAAAAATAATAATGATGAGATTATATGTTGAGCCTATGATTCTATTCGTGGATAAATATTTTTAATTTTATGCTTATTTAATTAACTTCTGAGTTTTGAACACAAGTTAATTGTTTTGAACAACATTTAGGATATAAAATCATTTTTGGTATTTTAAATTTAATATAAAAATTTTAGATAATTATGAATTAACAAAATATATTAATAAAAAAATATTAAAATATTAGCATTTTATTACTCTAATTTCAATCGAAAAGTAAGGTAAATTTAGTTAAAATTAGTTCTACATTAAAAAATTTCAAAAATAAAAAGGTTTTGAGAGAGAGAAGATGATGCGTGTGTAATACCAGTGAAGTAAATGAGTTTAAAAGAGCACTTATTTGAACTAGATGTGAAAGTTAAATTAACTTATCCTTATGTGTGTGTGTGTGTGTGTGTGTGTTAAAGGCATTCATAAGAATATCTGTGTGTGTGTGTGTGTGTGTGTGTGTGTTAAAGGCATTCATAAGAATATCCATGAGGTCGCTATTGATAACAACCATTCCAAGTGGCAGGAGTTTGGATTAGTTTGCAGAGAATGTTGAATATTCTCAAGTTTTCTAGGATACCAGCAGGTGGAATTAAAAAAAGAAATTATTGAGTTTAAAGCACTGAAATATTTTGAAATATCAAATAACATATTGTGGGGCCGACATATTTGAGTACAAAGCCAATATTTTTAAGAAAGAAACTCAAGCTTCAACTAGCCACAAATCTCTTCGTGGTCAAGAAATTGAATGTCATTTCTCAAGCAGAAAATAATAAAACTAGCAAAACTGCTTATTTAAAATTATTTTTGTTTTATTATTATGAGAATTTTCTCAAAACAAAAAAAAATAATAAAAACATGTGTTTTTACATTTTCCTTTATTAGTCAGAACAATAATCTCAAAACACTTAAAAAATATTTTTATTTTTCTATTTTCCATAATAATATTTAGTTTTTTATTCTCCAACACAATTTCTGAAAATATGTTACCAAACAAATTTTTTTCATTTTTTTGTTCTGAAAAATAGAAAATTATTCCCAAAATAAATTGCCAAACAAGTTCATATATCTCTCAGGACACGCTTTCTATTTTCCCTTACAGAGAAAGTAAAAAAGACAGCAACAAAGAAGCTGATGATAATTCTTATGTCCTGGCAAAACAAATAAAATAAAGTATAACATTCTCTCTAAGAATTGATGATACCAAATGCTGAGAAGTTTCAATTCTATGGAGCTCTTCAAAGGATAAAATCTCAAACAATCAGCAAACTTTGAACAGCCAGCAAGATTTAGGATTTCCAAAGAGCATTGACCAAATAAGTTATTTGGAATACTGACAAGATTAATGCGGCTTCTCAAATTTAAAAATTTGAGCTTTGGAATTCTAGCAATCGATGGATGGAGTTGCAACAATCTAATACATCCTTCAAGGTCTAATCTTTCAAGATTTCGAACCCCTCCAAAATGTGGCATCTTAGTCAAATTTTTGGAGCCAATAAGACTCAAAATTTTCAACTTAGGAAGCACCTGCAAATGAGAAAGAGCATGGAAATTAAAAGGACAATTATCTAGAAAACACTTTTTCGTATACTAAATATATGCTTAGTTTTTGGTGTAATCAAACAAAAATGAATATTGTTGACATTAATTACCTTTCACCTTCCCATAATTCTTTGATGTTACTATCAGGCATAATCAATTCAACTAGTGCATGAGGCTCAAAACTTGATGGCAAACTAGTGAAAGGATATTGATGCCATGAAACATATCGTAGCTTATTAGAAAGAGAATTGAGTGTTCCATAACAGTTCACATTACGAAATATGAGCAATCTAAGATTTCTCATGCGTGACAAGGCTTCAATTCTCAACGTAGCCCTTCTAGAGTCTTCCAAATCAAGGGATATAGCTTCAAATCTTTCCATAGCCTAAGAATAAAGTCATTTATACCCAAAAAAAAAAGTTAGATTACTTTAATTTTGTAGATTGTATTATTTTGGCAAAATTATACCTTTGGTCATTTAATTTCATACAAAGATTTTATTATAATCCTTTAATTTTATAAAGTATTTTTTAAATCCTCCAACTTTAACATTGTTAATCTCAAACATTTAAGATTGTTCCGAGACTAACAATATTAGAATTAGAACATTAAAAAGATACTTTATAAAATTAATAGGCTAAACTAAAATTCATATAAAATTAGAGTACCAAATTTACACTTTTATATATTATGTTAATAAAAGAAAAGAGTCGATTAACTTACCGTGCTTTCATTTTGTTGCATAACATAATCAATATCATCTAAATGCCACAACCTATTCCATTTTCTCGGCTCATAAGGGAAAGCTCTTCGAACAATTTGTCGTCCCATTTCTCGCAACATATTATGCATCCCTACTTTGTGATCTAGAATGGTCATGAGTGATTTTTCAATCAAAAGTTTCATTCCATTATCTGCTGGAAAGCCACAACTATCTAAAATTTCCTTCACACGATCCATCTTTTTCCCAATAAAGAAACATGTGATGTCCAAAAATATTTCCTTGCTCTTGTCATCAAGTTCGTCATAACTTTTTTCAAGTACGTCCATTATTTGTCGATTCGGAATTCTTTGTAGTTGAACCAAGGCACTTTTCCATTCTTTGACACTTTTTCGACTCAAGAGTAAGCCCAATTTTATAATTGCTAATGGAAGGCCATTAGCATATTCAAGTATATTATTCGTCAATTCTTCATATCCACTCTCTGGATGATCACGTCCAAAAGCTTTTATACAAAAGAGTTGAAGGGCTTCTTCCATATTCAATAATTTAGGTCTGTAAACTTCTTCCACTTTACACATTTCAAGGACTCGTTCATCTCTAGTTGTAATGATGATTCTACTTCCTTGATCAAACCATTCAGATTCCAGAACAACATTAAATGCATCGAGATTTTCCAATACATTATCAACACCATCAAGAACAATGAGAAATCTACGTTGGTTTGATCTCCAAGTTTTGATAAAGAATTTTCATTAAAGATAGATCATCACGCAAAAGTTGGCTTATATTCTCTATGAAACAAAATGCATCAAAATGTCGAGAGATTGATCTGTACAAAACTTGAGCAAGAGTTGACTTCCCTACTCCACCCATTCCACAAATTCCTACCACTTGAACTTCATCATTTGAATCCAAATTCAAAAGCTTTTCGACTTCAGACACATGAGATTGCATCCCAATTAGCTCAACAACATATTCTAGTTGACGCAGTGCTATCATGACCTTGCTAACAATTTCATTGATGGCTTTTGAAATTCGTCTGAAGAATTAAAGAACAAAAAATGGAAACAACGAACTTAAATCAGTTTTCATGAGTTTCAGAAATTTGAAGTGTTAAGTTGGTTGGTTAGCCAGAGAATTATGTACCTTGGTTGGATCATCATACAAAACATCTCAAAAAGATCATCAGGTGTTCCACTTGTGAAGTTGTTGAATTGACTGGCGACATTGTCATAGATTTCATCCAGAACCTGGTGTCGTTGGGCATTAGTGTTCTTTGCATAAACACTAAATTCATTTTTCCTCATTCAACAGTGATCGTTGAAAGATTATAGTTAAGACGTGCAAATGTGACCAGATATGAATCAATGTGGGAAATCTCATATATATTGGAGATGAAGTTAGAGTTAATCACTAGTATAGAACAAAGTGGAAGGGTCCATAAAATTGATACGTTTTGAATTAAGATATGAGTCCTCCCACAGTTTATCACCCATTTGTTTTCTCCTGTTTCCGTTCGATTGCTCTCACTCCTCAACAAGTGATATTAGAAGCTCATAATAACGCACAAGTTTTAAGCTTAAAGAAGAAGAAGAAGGGATTGTGTCTACCACACCGTCATTCTCGCCCATTTTTATTTAATTAGATTATGCATCAATCAAGAAAAAAAAAACCTACTAATTTTGAAATAATATTAAATCTAAATTGTTCAGAACCATGAGTGAGGGGCAAGAAAATCATTTGGGAATGACTTTACCTCCCTTGCCTGGGTTCCATCGAGATCGTAGAAGATCAGTATAACACCGCGTGGCCTATGAATTCGCCAAGCAATTTCTTTGAGTTCCATGAAGTGCTGTTTTGAAGTAGAATGGGTTTTGGAGAAGACAAATAGAGAGACCCATGATTCATGAATCGGTTTCAGAAGATAATCTGGAAGTGAGTCCTCAGTTTCGAGATCCTGATCTTGCTCAAAAGTTGTCAAACCTGCAGCTTCGAAAGCAGCACAAATCTTATCAGTGAATTCATAAACGTTACGGTCATCGCCTCTGTGACTCACATAAATATTGATCGGCCTCCCCTCCTCCTTGGAAATCAATCGTAGCTTCTGATCTCACACACAGTATGATCAATTAGTGTTTCATTGTAGTAGAGTTCAAATCCAAGTCTATATCTATGTTTACTACTTTGGTTTCTCAGAATGATGACTTGTTTACTACTTTCGTCTACGAGCACAAAGCAGATACGTACAGATATTTTTCTGAACATGTGGTGTGGAATATGCGGAGTACATTCGGTGCTCATCAGGATGCGTGCTCATTGACCCTGAACCAATGTGAATGCTGGACGGTCCAGACTTAACTATCTTTATTATTATTTTAAATAAAAATTTATAAAATTTTAAGTAAATATATTTGTTATTAATATATACCATTTACATTTAATTAAATGAGTCTAAATTTAATATTAATTTTTTTAAATTGACTATACAAATTTAGTCTCTACTGTTTAGATTTAAAATTTTTAACTTGTCATACTATTAAATTTAAAACAATTCAAAATAAATCTGTATTGTTAATTTATAAAAATTATAAAAAAAATTAACATTAAATTTAAATTAATCTGACTAAATATAAATGATATATATTAATAATAAAATATATTTCTTTAAATTTTTATTAATTTTTATTTTCAAAAATAAAAAAATAGTTAAATTTAAAATGCCCAGATTAAATTAAAATTTAGATTGGTTCAGGGGTGATTACCTTGATGAGCACTAAATGTTCTCTCGTGGAATATGGAGGACCCTTTTAAAATTAACAAAGCTTTTTTTTTATTTCTTCTTTATGAAGATAATAGTGCTTTTTGATCTGTCCATTCAAAAGTCCACAGAATAAAGTGAACTTGTCATAAGTCGCCCAAGTTTATCGGTGAAGTGAAATTTAGAAAGGTGAGGGATTCTCACTCTTAATAGGATAATATTTTTTATATGGGTGCTTTATTTGTAAGGCTCTCCTCACAAAGAGGTCTTCTATTCAGGAATGTCGGCATAGAAAATTTTGTTTAAATTTATTATTATGACATAATAATTCATATATATTTATAAAAAATAATAGTTCATATGTAAAAATTCACATTTCTTTTACATTACTGACTTGTTTTGTTTTCATAGCTAATTTTATGTAATAATATAATTTTTAGTTCTTAAATTTTCTTTAATTATTGATTTAGCTCCTAAATTTGAACTCTATATAATTTAATTCTGATATTATTGAGTTGAGAAAGTGTAGAAATTAAGTTATACTAAATTAAAAAAAAACTATGAGAATTTATTTATTCTGAGTTAATTACAAAGTCGGATCTGAATTATTTTGAATTGAAATTTAAGAACTAAATGGATAAAGGATTTTAAAATATCTTTCAGGGAAAGTACTTCCTTGGCAAGTAATTTTAGCAAGAGGCTCTTCCAAAAGGCCGGTCCTAGTTTGCAAAGTGATTCCATGTGAATCATGAACTAGACGTGCGAGGTGAGCCGTCACACCGCATCAATAATGGAAATAACTTTAGGAAAAACACCCTTTTCAAATTAAAATATCAACTTTGCCCCTGAGGGAGTGAGACATGATTTGCAAGGGTATACATACACTATGATGATTTTTTTTTTTGGAGCAAACACTATGATGATATTTATAACAAATATCTTTCGATTGTATTTTTTTTTATTTAAAGATTATTTGTGACAATTTTTTCATAATAAAAATCACATTTTTTTTTCTTTTCGTTCCATGCCATTGATCTAATTACCAAACAAGTTGTTAACAACATGCTTTCCTTTTTCTTTTATTTTTTCCCTTGTTATTGTCGGCATATTTTTATTTTTCTTTTTTATTTTTAATAAACCATGGGTCTGTTTTCATTGTTAAAGGGATATTAAAGGACCGTCAAAACTTGCTCCCTCTGGGTGTGGGGTAGAATTAATGGTTTAAAACATAAGAGTAAAGAATAACACTATAATAACCCTAAATTTTAATTAAATAATTTTTTCTTTTAATTTATATTTTATTTATTTTTGTTTAATCATTTCAATTTTATAACAAATGGAAAGTGATGGTTTAATAGAACTTGTCTTGATTATTTATCTGAAGGTTTAAAATTTAAATCTTATTGAGTAAAAGTTTGGTATTATTTAGTTTTAAATTATAAAATTTTTTATCAAAATGTCTTTGTCTTTAATTATAAAAGAAAATGCTGCGGTCTTTCTTGTAATATTTCCAATTTTTTTGCCTATGTTTAGAATTTTCCTCTTCTTTTGTTCGAACTACAGAGCGTTTAGTCAGAGCATACTTTCCTTTCTTCTTCTTCACCGCCAGCGTGTTCCTCTGTTCTTCACCGTCAGCCTACCTCTCTTTCCCTCGCCGTTGGTCTTCTTTGCTCGCCGTCGGCCTGTGTCGTTCCTCTCCGTCGCGTCTCCGCTGCTGGGAGAGTTGGAGTCATCGGATTTTTTTCCCGTCACTGTTCTTTGTTCCTTCTCGGTCCTGTGTCAACGTGTGGTGCGTGCGTGGGTGCTCGGTCTCCATCTCTTCTTCCTCTTCGGTTGCTGGCCGTTGAAGTGTGTGTATGGTAAGCTTGGTTTTCTTTTTACTGGCCGACGCGCTTTGCTCTGTTTCAGTGTTGCTGCCGTGTTGATTTTGAGGAAATTGAGGTGTTGTTTGGTTTATACTGTATTTTGACGCTTAGCTGAATGTTGATTGTAGAATTATAGGTTTGAAGTGTTTGGATGTTGGTTCATGATTGAGTTAACGATCAATGCTTTTAAGGTGTTCGTGAAAATGCTTGAATGAAGGATTTAGTGGATAAATATTGTTAAATGTCCATTTTTATATTTTGGAGGTATAAATGTAAATTTTGGCTAGAGTTGTTGACGGGAAATCTTAATATGCCAACATTGAGACATGGTTAAATAGAATTATTATTTTAGTACTTTATTAAGTGTAAATAAAGTATAAGAAACGTTAATGTGGTTTATCATGATTGATAATTGAGAATGAGTTATAAAAAAATATAAAAATAAATTGAGATTTGTACAGTGGTATAATTAACTCAAGGGTATTTGTTATATAATTGATTATGGTATTATTTTTAATATTATTTAAAAAATTAAGTTGTTGTCTTTAATATTGGTTGAAATCTAATGGTGTGGAGCTAAACTTTTTTGTTGGATTGGTTGAAGGTTTTATTATTATAGAAATTTCAAAAGGTTCAAATTACAATTGAATTATTATCTTTAATATTGTTTGAAATATAATAGTGTAAAGCTAAACTCCTGGATTGATTGATAGGTTTTATTATTATAAACATTTTGAAAAGTTCGAATTATAAAAAAAATTTTGCTGAAATTTTTACAGAATAGTTAAAAGTTTATGAATTTTATTATTATATATAAATTATTTATTGTTATTTTTGCTTAATCTTTGATTATTTAAGAATTATGAAATATGAAACTTCATATTTCACGCCAATCACGCTTTTAATACAAGGGCGTGACAGTCACACACAGGAACGATGATTCAATGAAAAAAATCGGATGGAGTGAAGGATTACATATAGAATGAAATGATAACCTTATCTACAAGCTTCTGTAACGTTAGGGGGTACCCCTGGACCTCTTGTCTCTCCCCCTCCTCCGCTCCAAGGGTGGTTTTCAAGAAATAAAGTTTATGCACTTCACCATCACATGTGAGATGACATTGTTCAGCTGACAATAAAACTGTGTAACTAGCTGCCAAAATAGAATAATGGATCTAAGCGAAGTTTACAAGTAATTATCATATAATGACAACACATTGTCTTTAACATGGCCCCCAAAAAAGAAAAAATAAAAACAAAAGAGAGAACGAAAAGAAACTGACAAATTAAAGATACTTTATTTGGTGTTGTTTCATTTGCTCATTTTGGGTTTAGTTCTATCGAGGTCCTTGGAAATTCAAGCGTTGAGCAAGTTTGAAACAGCCAGGAAGATTCAAAGTTTCAAGAGAAGTTGAAAGAAATAAGGTGTTCGGGATACTGATTAGACGATCACAGTTTCTCAAATTCAGTGACGTCAGCTTCCGAAGATCTCCAGTGGATGCGTCAACCTCTAATAATCCACTACATCCTTCAAGGTCTAGCTTCTCAAGATTTTTCACTCCTCTAAGATTTGGCGTCTTGATTAGGTTTTTAGAGCCACGTAGATCCATGATCTTCAACTTTGGCATGGTCTGTTATGAAGCAGCAAAAGACAATTAACCAGCAAGCTGTATACTCCTTTGGTCCTTTATTTATAGGGTAAAAAAATTCTCTTTGATATTATTTTTAAGTTATTTTCAACATGTTTTATTGGAATAAAAAAAATTTATAGCTTGTTAATTATGTCTTAAAATTGAATATGTTTCCACTTCTACACCCTAATAAAGATAAAAAGAATTATGGAGTTTTTATTAATTTTTTCTAATATATTAATAATGACAGAAATGTAAAGATGAATATAGAATCAAAATAAATCTTTTCTCTCTATCCTATAAATAGGATCAAAGGAGCATTTGTTTTGATCCTATTTATAAGGCATTTTAATGATTATTGTGTCCATGTTTACCCTTTTACTCCTATTAAATGTTGGGAAAGTTATTAAATGTTAGAATATTTTATTTCTAAAGTATGTATATTTAATAGAGGTAAAGTTAAAAACTTCTTAAATTTTTAAACAGGGTTAATGAGATTTAAGGTAAATGAATTATAAACAAAATAAGAGGGAATATGTACCAGCATTACCAACAAGAAGCTAAGTCTATCTTGTCCAGAAGAGCATTATCGTACCTTTATGCCTTCCCACAATAGTCTTGCATTGCTATCAGGCATGATGAGTTCAGCAAGTTCAGCTGGCTCAAAACTTGATGGTAAATAGCTGAAAGGAAATTTATGCCATGAAAGAAATCGTAAATCATTGGAGAGATTATTCAGCTGCTTTCCTGAAAATTTCACATGAGGGAATATAATTAGTCTGAGGCGAGTCATTTGTGATAAAGCTTCAGCCCTCAATGGCAGCATCTCATTCAGATCTATATCTTCCTCCTTCAAGACGATGGCTTCAACTTTTTCGGTTCCCTACAAAATGGAAACACATGCACAAGGTAAAAGAAACATGTTGGATTTTTTTTTAATATGGGACCACTAATATTCTAATCAAGGTACTTAAATCTGAGCCAGTCTAGATAGTAGTTCAAGGGTCAGTATTTCAAACTGTAGTTGAACCGATGTTAACCCAGTCATGCTAATTTTTTTAGCTTAACGTGATGTTGTTTTAGGTTTGGTTATGTGAGAAAAGACATATAAAATTCAGCCAGTTGATGTGTTCATAACTTTTAACCGGACTGACTGGGAGACTGGTTCACTGATTTACTGGTCTGGCTAGTTGAGTTTTAATACCATGATTCTAATGATAGCAAGAAAGAGAAAGCAAAACCTCAGTAATTAATGTAATTATACATCAAAACAACACTTACTGTCTTTACAGCTTGAAGATCTTTGTACAACCAGAGTCTGCTCCACTTTGCTGGCTCTTGAGGAAATTCTCCCTTTGCAAACTTCCATCCCAGTTCTTGAAGCAAATCATGCATCCAGATTCTTTCATTGACAATGACCATGAGTGATCTTTCACACAGAATGTTAATTCCAAGCTCAGGATTAAATCCACAATGGTGTAGGATTTTTCTGGCATAGTTCTCATCTTCTCCCTTGAAGAAACAAGCAACATCCAAAAATATATCCTTGTCGCTTTGCTCAAGCAAAAATAAACTTGTTTCCAGCACTCCCATAACCTCTTGGTTGGGATTTTCTTTCAATCTATCCAACTGTGCTCGCCACTCTGATTGTTGCCTCTTAAACAAAGAGGAACCTAGCACTTTGATTGCCAATGGAAGGGCCTTAGAATATTGTAGAAGATTATGAGTCAACTCTTCAAATTCATCTTCAGGATCATCACTTTTAAAGGCTCTTCTACAAAGAAGTTGAAGAGCTTCTTCATCATTCAGTAGTTCAACCTTGTAAACTTTATTCACTTTCACTCCATGTCTCTCCAGGATTTTCTCATCTCTAGTTGTTATGATGATTCTACTCCCAGGACCAAACCACTCAGGCTTTCCAACCAATTTCTGCAATTGTTCATCATGATCAACATTATCAACAACAATAAGAGTTTTGCAGTTACAAAGCCTAGTTCTTATTAAATTGGTTCCTGTGTGATCCTCCCAAACCTCTTGATCTTTCCCCACTGCTTCGCAAAGGAGCTGTTTTTGTAGACGGACAAGACCAGGACCCTTGTGAACTTTACTCACATCAAGAAGAAGACAACAAGCATCAAATTGGTGGGAAATTCTATCGTATACAACAGCAGCAAGAGTAGTCTTTCCTACTCCGGGCATTCCCAGAATCCCTACAAATTGAGCATGATCATCTGATGAGTCTAGATTTAGAAGCTTTTCAAAAGCTTCTGCACGAGATTGCATCCCAATTAGATCCTCTGCCAGACTTGAGAATCTATGTTTTAGTGTATGGGTTACTTCCAGAACGATTTGATCAATAACGTCAGACTCTGATCTGAAGAAAGAAAAGGGAAAATCACTTTTAAATCCCGCGTAAGCAATCTAAATAGAAAAAAGTCCCATAAAATCACAAAATTATTCTGAAGTCCCTTGTTATACATCAATATCTGTTGGATAATTGTCAATTATTGCTGCTTATACTGGACAACTCGACTATCAGTAATTGACAACTTCAATATGCACATTGACTACTTCAGTGAAGAACTTAGAACTTCAGAGTAATCTTATATTGACAAGGGAATAATGAAGAGAGAACAATAGAGAATCATATACAAGAAAACCAGACTATAAAGGAAAACAAAAGAAGAAATATTTACTTACTTATTCCTCACATCATAACCAGAGAGATCGGCTGCTTGTCTCAAAGCTGTCTTCCATCTCTGTACTCTGTCACTTGAGCTTTGCTTATGTTTATTAAAGGCTTCTTCGAAATCCCCCCTCTGATTCCGTACCTCAGATGGATCGACATCGTAGAAAATTGGAAGAACAGTGTATCCCGGTTCTGCGATTCCCTCACAGATCTTTGCCAGTTCGTCCAAGCACCATGATGAATCAGCATAATTTTTGGAGAAGACGACGATTGAAATCCTGGACTGCTCAATAGCTTTGAGGAGTTCGGGTCGAATACGTTTTCCTCGCTGGAGCTTTTTATCATCCTTGAAGGTATATATACCTTTTCGTTGAAGAGCAGCATGGAGATGACCAGTGAAACTGTTGCGAGTATCCTCACCTCTGAAACTTAGAAACACTTCGTATTTCCAGGTCCTCCGAGATGACGATGATGATGAGCTGCTTGGTAAGCTAAGGCGATTCATTATTTCTACAATGTAACAAGATGATCGGCTCACTTCCTAAACACCACAGAGATGGCAAACTGTCCTGTTGACGAAGAAGAAGGCGAAAGAAAGAGAGAAGTCGTCGTTGACGTAGTAATATATATATATATATATATATATATATTTCATAAAAAGTAATATAATATTTTTAAGAAAACATATCTTTTATTTTTATACTTTATTCATATTTTATTATAAATTTTTATATTTTTTTTATATTTTAAAATTTTATATTTTTATTTTTTAATATTTTATGTTCACTTAAAATCTTTATACTTTATTCATTTAAAAATTTTAAATATTAAAAAATAAAAATTTAAAAATTTAAAATATAAAAAATTATAATAAAATATTAACAAAATACATAAATCAAAAGGTGTGTTTTTTCATATTTTTAAATGTAAAATTGAGGGGACTTTATGAAATGAAACAGAACGAACGAACGGGACAAAAATATCTCTGAACACTATAATTGCACTAAGTAACGATGAACACTGACATTACAACTCACCAACATGTGTGTGTGTATATATTACTTTTAACTTAATGAAAAGACATAGTTAAGTTATTCATATTTTATTTTTAATTATTTTTAATTTATTCTATAAGTATATTTTTTTAAAAAGTATTTTTTTATATATATAACCTTTTATGTTATTTATAAAAAATTATGAAAATATAAATATGAAAGAAAATAATTGATAATCTGACATTTTATATGTACGAAATGATGTATAAAAAAGACCATCAATTTTTTTTAAAAAATGTTTTAAAAATAATTCTTTTTACTAGTGAGGCAAGTTGTTTAACAGAAATTTAGATTTTTGTGTTTATGAGATAACAGATTTAGAGAGAAACGATTAAAGAGATCAATGATCAATCATCTCGTTAAGTGTGCTCTCATGATTATTGTTAAAGTCTTTTTATAATAATAACCACTAACAGAACCAGAGAGACTAGTTACAGTGCTCGTCACAGGTATTACATCATTGGGCCATTGGGCCTTGTATAACAACTCTTAAGCCCAACTTTATAGATATATCTGATATTGCCCTTGCTGATTTCTTTAAAAAAAAAAAACAGAAAGATCAATGATAACAGATTTAGAGAGAAATGATTAGAGAGATCAATGATGAATCATCTCATTAATTGTGTGCTCATGATTATTGCTGGGGTCTTTTTGTAATAATAACCACTAATAGAACCAGAGAGAGTAGTTACAGTGCTTGTTACGGCTGTTATATCAGTGGGCCACTGGGCCTTGTACAAGACTCTTAAGCCCAATCCTTTTACATATATCTGAAGTGTTGAAGGAAATGAGAGTGACCAAACCAGCATTTCACGTCAAATAGTTGAATCCTTGTTTTGAGAGACTATCGTTGTAAAACTATAGGTAATTAAATAACAAGAAGGCATATATAATTTAAGACCAACAAGATATATGAAATTTCTCAAATTTAATTAATTTATAAGCAAGTTGTGATTATATATAACCTTCAATTGACCCTTCATGCTAAGGAGAGATAAGAAGGAACAGAGAAAGAGATGACTGATTTAGAGACAAATCATTCTTAAATATACCAAATACAAATAAAAGAAAAATAGAACCTTCAATCTTAGCCTTTATTACCTAAACTTCATGAATGTTAAACCTCACAAATACTCATCAAGTAAATAAGAAAACAACAATTGCTAACAACATTTTTCTGCTAAAACAAACAAAAGAAAATACAGGAAGTTCTCTAAGAATGGATTAGACCAAACGCTAAGCAGTTTCACTTCTGTCAAGCTCTTCAAAGGAGAAAAATTCAAATAATGCGCAAGTTCTGAGCAGCCGGCTAGATTTAGAATTTCCAATGAGTTTAGAGCAAATAAGCGATTGGGAATACTAAAAAGATTGATGCAATTTCTCAAATTCAAGAACTTGAGCATTGAAAGTTCGGCAATAGATGGATCCAATTTCAATAATCCAGTACAACCTTCAAGGTTGAGTCTTTCAAGATTTGGAACTCCTGCAAAATCTGGTGTCTTGATCAAAGTTTTGGAGCCATAGAGATTCATTTTTCTCAAGTTAGGGAGCATCTGCCAATGAGAAAAACAATATGATATATATATATATATATAATTGTAAGAACATGAACTAAAGATATTCAACAAGTAACAAGTGCCAATATTAATCGTTGATTTGAATAGTTGCCCCCCTTTTTTTGTTGTGCAATAGTGAAAAAGAACAAATGAAAGAACATTAACATCACCATTTTGCCCTTCCATGCTTCTGTGAGGTTGCTATTGGGCATAATCAATTGAACAAGCGCATCAGATTGAAAACTTGGCAGCCTTGTGAAAGGATATTCATGCCACGAAATATATTGTAACTTGCTTGGAAGGTCATTCAATGTTCCAGAAAATTTCACATTCCGAAATATGAGCAATCTAAGGTTGCTCAAATGTGATAAATTTCAATCCATAATGTAGTTGTTTCTGGCTCTTCCAAATCCACTTCTGGCTGTTCCAAATCCAGAACTATAGCTTCAACTTCTTCAATAGCCTAGGATTAGATTTTGTATAGAAATAATTAAATGTTATATTGATACTTTGATTTTATAAACATTAAGTAAAATAAATTGTCAACAAAACTTACTCTGTTTGTTGCTATGATCTCGAGAACATATTTGATATGGTAGAACAGGTACAATCTGCTTTGTTTTTCTGGTTGACGAGGGCATTCTTGGTGAACAATTTCTCGTCCCATTGCTTGCAACATACTATGCATTTGTATTCTTTGATTTGAAATAGTCACAAGTGATTTTTCAATAAGAAGTTTGATTCCTATCTCGGCAGAAAAACCACAATCATGCAAAATTTCACGTACACAATCTATGTCCTTCCCTATAAAAAAACATGCAATATCCAAAAACATTTCCTTAGTCATGTTATCAAGTTCATCAAAACATTTTCTGAGCACCATCATTATCTCATAAGGAGGAATAATTTGTTCTCTATCCAAGAAATTTCTCCATTCTGCAACGCTTAACCCATGCAAGCATGAGCCTAACATTTCAACTGCTAATGGAAGGCCATCAGCATATTCTAGTGCCCTATTAGTCATCTTTAAAAAATCACTCTTGATAGGATAATCCCTTGTAAAAGCTTTCGAGTGAAATAGTTGAGAAGCTTCATCCTTAGTCAACAATTCTGGTCTGTAAATAGCATCAACCTTAGACATTTCAAGGACTTGTTCGTCTCTAGTTGTTATAATGATTCTACTCCCTCGACCAAAATGATCAGATTTCTCATCCAAGTTTAGTTCTTCAATATCATTTACAAGATCAACACCATCAAGAACCATGAGAATCTTTTGATTTCTTAAGCTTTCGCATGTTAAGAACCCTTCTTCTAGAATATCTCTTATCCCTGGATTTTCTGTCTCCAAATTTCTACAAAGAAGCTCTTGCAGAGATAGATCACCATGCTTCAAACGTCTACTTACATTGGGAAGGAAACTAAAAGCATCAAAATTGTGAAAGATCTTAAGATATAGAACTGTAGCAATAGAAGACTTCCCTAATCCACTCATTCCACAAATTCCTACAACTCGAACTATATCATCCGAACCCAAATCCAAAAGCTTTTCAACTTGTTCAACTCGAGATTGCATTCCAACAAAACTGAAAAAGCCATAAAATATTTTATCTATTTTTGTCTTGGCCTCCGTGACAATTTTCTGAATTACCTGTGACTTTGAGCTGAAAAATACAAGGAGAAAACAAAACACCAAATCAATCAAATTTGATTCTTCGTGAGGCTTGAGGGAAAAGTTTGTGTTTTTTCTGGCGCAACTGTGATGATACTATATATCTTGACAGTCTAACCACATTATACTTGGATGATTATGATTATATATATTTTTTAAATATCTTTTTTATTCAAAATGAAGTAAATATAAAAAACCTTCAAATTGCAATTTCTTTTAAAAAAATAATGACTATGACAAAGAGGCTGTCAAAATCATTCGGTCTTCATTTAATATGAAGTGTTCAGATTTTCTTCTATAAAATTAATACAATAGTACTATGTTGCTGTTCTACAACGACCGAGAACTAATCTAAATATATAAGTGGATAAGGGGAAAAGAACTTTTTCTTTTAAAAAGCAACATATATATGATGAATTTAGCTTTTACTAATTAATCAACATACATGTGAATTTCGTGGCAATCAATGGCTAGTTGCCCCAATGATAACATTGCCTCCTTCTCTTGAAAGAAGTCTTGAGTTTGAACTGAATATTGATGTGTTGCGTGTGCATGGGTGTGTGCGTTTTCCTTTCTTATGAGCAAAAGCTAAATTAGGGGTAAAATTTAAAACAAAAAATGGCAATAATTGATCCACAGTACTATCCGTGAAAGCAAACCTATTGAAAAGTCAAGGGTAAAGTTACTCACAAATTTCGTACATCCAAGCCAATTCTGGCCACTTCTTTCATATCCCGCCTCCATCTTCGTACCTTGTCTAAATCTCCATATGTGTTAGTTTCTTCTTGTTGAGCAAAGGTTTCTGGATCCACATCATAAAAAACTGATATAAACCTGTATGGAACGTAAAAGCGACCAGAGCGATGAGCCTCCTGATTCATAGCCAGCCTCCATGTGTTCACCTTGTCTAAATATGCTTCAAACCAGTTTTTTTTTTTCAAGTTCAGCAAAGAATGGATCAACATGAAAAGCTGGTGCTGGCATTGACATGTGAGCATGTCTTCGGGGAACAACACTTGAGAGTTCCTCCAAACACCACAGTGAAGAAGCATAGTTTTTGGAGAAAACAACAATACGAATCCAGGCTTGTTTAATTGCTTGAAGAAGGTGAGGTGGAATATTATTGGAGTCTCTGATCGCTTCAAGCTTCTTATCATCTCCGAAGGTTATTAAACCTTTTCTTTGAAGAGCAGCAGAAAGGTCACGGACGAATCTGCTAGTGTCGCTGTCATCGCCTCGAAAACTTATGTACACATGAATCGGTTTCGATGATGAGATTATATCTGGATCCTCCATGGGAAATTAATGAAGCTCCAAATAATGGAATAACAGTTGCTTATTGATCAACACTTTGGTTGCGGCATTAATTGTTCCTCTTAAATGATATATAATTAATGTGGAATCGGTCCAAATTTTGACCAAAAGGAACGAAAGGAATACGTCCAAATTAATGACTTCCGTATTTTGTTACCCGAAAATACCCCCAACTGTTCGTCGTATTTCTGCCATTCATGAGAGAAAAGTTGGTTACAACTGTTCTGAGTTACCTTGAGTCAATTATATCATCCCACAAACCTCAATTTATCCTTATAACCCATCATCAACCATGATAGACCATATTAACTCTTATAATGCTTTTTTTTCCACTAAATAAGGTATAATAATAATAATAATAATAAGAATAATAATAATAATCCCATAATACCATTCCTCCTGTGTTGACATCTTAAGATTTCCAACTAATAACTTAAGCGAATGTTACACATATACTTCAAGATATAAAAATGAAAATTTAACAATACTCATCCCCTAAATTCTTCACTCAAGCATTTTTACCAACACCTGGAGAGCATTAATCATTAACTCAATCATGAACCAACCCCAAAACACTTCAAACAAATAAATCTACAGTCAACATTCAGCTCAGCATCAAAATAAAGCAATACCCAGCGTAAACCAAGCAACACCTCAATTTCCTCAAAATCAACACGGCAGCAACACTGTGAAACCGAGCAAAGCGCGTCGGCCAGTAAAAAGAAAACCGAGCTTACCATACACACACCCCTCGACGGCCAGCAACAGAAGAGGAAGAAGAGATGGAGAGCAAGCACCCACACACGCACCACACGCTGACACAGGACCGAGAAGGAACAAAGAACAGTGACAGGGCAAAAAATCCGATGACACCAACTCTCCCAGCAGCGGAGACGCCACGGCGAGGAAGGACACAGGCCGACGGCGCGCAAAGAAGACCAACGGCGAGGGAAAGAGAGGTAGGCTGACGGAGAGGAACAGAGGAACACGCTGGCGGTGAAGAAGAACAAAGGAAAGTATGCTCCGACTAAACGCTCTGTAGTTCGAACAAAAGAAGAAAATTCTGAACATAAGTAAAAATTTGGAAAAATTATAAGAAAGTCCACAACATTTTCTATTATAACATAAAAATAAGGACACTTTGATAATTTTATTATAGTTTAGAACTAAATAACACCAAATTTTTGTTCAGTAAAATTTAAACTCTGTATAAAACTAAAATGATTAAATAAAAATAAATAAAATATCAATAAAAAATTATTTAATTAAAATTTAGTTTTATTACAGTGTCACTCTTTACTCTGATCGTTTAAACCATTAATCCGACCCACGATTTTGAAGTTCCTTTAATATCCCTTTAACAATGAAAATAGACCCATATTTCATCGAAAAATGAAAATGAAAATAGGCCCACGATAACAAGGGAAAAAAGAAAAAGAAAAAGAAAAGCATGTTGTTAACAGCTCGTTTGGTAATCATTATCATTATATATATAAAAATAGAGTTTAAGACTATGAAAGAATGTCACGTGTTCAATTTTAGATTTTCCGTATTTCTATACTTCGAGATGCCTTTTGTGCAATTCTATGCTTCGAAGTCAGGTTTGGAGTTAGATTAAAAAAGTTTTATTGTTTTTTATAAAATATAAAATATATTATTCAAGTTTGGAGTTAGACGTAATATGAATTATTAATTTTTAAATGTGTTTAAAGATCTATTTTTACCTATTTGAAATTCAAGTTTAATTATATTTAAATTTTAATTAATATCTGTCTATTTAATAACTCTATCCAACTTAAATATATGGCAAAATTTTAGGTTTATAATATTTAGGATATTTGTATACAGATATATATATTGAGATTCAAATTTAAATTAATACAAATATGTTTAAATTAAAAATTAAATATTTGTTTTACTATTTGAATCTATCATCATGAATTTCAAAAATTATAAATATAATTTTTATTAATATATGAAATTTGACATAATATATTCACTAATATTATAGCTAAATTGAACGCTCAGAATGCCGTGAATATATTTATATCCAACCTCATAGTTCATAAAGATATTTCTCGCCAATAATTCATCATTAATTACCTTTTCTTCATATAATACAAAATAAAATAGTATACATTTATCAAAAATGTAAGTGAAATTTTCATTTCATAAATTTTAATTGTCAATTTTATTTTGTGAACCGTACCTCAAGCTTTTTCAATTATCAATTTGATTTCTCAAGCTTAATTTTTTTAATTTGGTATTCTATGTTTACTTAAGTTATTAAATTAGTTCTTTCAATTTTAAAATATAAATTAACTCTCAAATTAATCAATTTAATGTGTAAAGCAAGTTGATTATTTGATGTATATATGTAATTAAATGTGAATAAATTAATTCTTAAATCAATTTAATTTTTATTAATATAATCCACAGAGCTACATTTTGTCATTTTGTATTTTAAAATTTATGAATTTTTGTATCTAAATAATTACACTTTCTTTTTTTATTAGCAATTACACTTTATTAATTTATATGGTTGCCATCAATATTCTATAGTTTATGTCAGCATATTTTACTTGTGTTATCTTCTCTTTAAACAATAAGGATCAGATCAATAAAAATTAATATCTATCTATTTAAACACTCTATCTAGCCTAAACATATAGAGAAATTTTATGGTATTTATATGCAAATATATTATGTGTTTAAAAATTACCTATTTGAAATTCAAATTTGATTATCTGTGTATTTAAATTAATATCTATCTATTTAAACACTATATCCAACGTAAATACACAGATATTAATTTAAATACATAGATATATTTAGTTAACTATTCCTGTTAGATAAAATTCATTAATTTAAAAAATTTGTTTAGAAAAATTAATATCTATCTTATAATAAAGTATAAATGTGTTGGTTAGAATTAAAGATTTTGGGTCTATTTATTTAAAATTCAAATCATCATTTTTATATATTTAATATTAAAAATTTTAATTGAAAATTGAGATGGAAAAAAATAGAATGAACGAATTTTAAGAATGGTCCATTAGCTCTAGATATGTATATCTTATATTATTTTTTTGGTATAATGTCCAATTTTAGTTCTTTGAATTTTTTTCTCTATGTTTTGCTGTAGTAAAAAAAGTTATTTTAATATTAAATGTTTTGATAGAAAATTAAGGTGTGGAAAAAAAAAATTAAGATGACCAAATTTTAAAACGACCTATGAGCTCTTGATATGTTTTTCTTCTATTATTTTTTTCTAATAATATATTTTTTGAAGTATATAATCTAAGCTAAAATATATTTTTGATCATATCATTCTATCATTATATAATTAGATAGTAGGTAATGAAAAATCTACTTATTTAAAAGCAAACTATTATAAAATATATTCAAATTTAAATTTAAATTTAAATTATATTGAGATTATAAATTGATGGCTTGAATTTTAATTTCAATTTATATATGTTAATATTAATAATCATCCTTGCTTCAGCTGATAATAAGTTATTTTGTTTGGGTTTTAATTTCATTTAAATTTTATTTGATTGAAAGTTTAAATTCAAAATTTCTTCTAACATTAGCCTTGATACTAATTATAAATAGAGCCTACTAAATACATGTTCATTCATCGATTTTGGGAGACCAATCTTTGAGAATTGGTTGAGAGCAACATGATAGGTTCACACAGGTTAGTTTATACACTTATGTTAAGCTCTCTTCATATGCATGTGTATTTTAATGCATATAGGTTAGTTGATTCATATAGAGAAATAAAAGGTGAGCTGAATTTGATTTGGTAATGATAGGTTTGAGTTCTTTATGGACTGTGATGATGATGGTAGGACTTGGAAGAAACAAATTGTAAAGAGTAAGTGGATATAATTTATTATAATTATTTAGAATGTTTTGTATGAATTATACTAGCTCAAACCCACAGAATCATCCCTTTCTTCCTCCTCGTACATTTCTCTCTTCTTCACTTGAAATCTTAATACACATAGACCCTTTCTTTTGTTCTCTCTCTCTGCAATAGCAAGTACACACGCATGTATATTCAATTCATCATGATCCGTGTTCTCTTGTGCACATATATGTGTTGGATGATGCGAGTTGAATCTAGGTCCGCTTCGTACTTTAGCACACATGTATATATATGGATACATACACGCATAACAAGAGATCAGGTTGTCGTGAAGGAGCTTCGAGACATATATATATGGTTTAATATATATATATATATATATATATTATATTTAATATATATATATATATATATATATAATATGTATATTCATATCAGGTCACCGTGAAAGACTTTAGCACGCATGTATATATATGTATTAAATTTTAGATCAATATATATGTGTTTAAATATTTAGAAAAAAATAATATGTGTTTAAAAATCTATTTTTACCAATTTGAAATTAAAATCTAATTATATGTGTATTTAAATTAACATCTATCTATTTAAACACTCTATCCAACCTAAATATATGGTGAAATTCTAGGTTCATAATTTTTAGAGTATTTATATGCAAATATACATGTATTGGGACTCAGATTTAAATTAATATATATTTGTTTAAATATTTTTAAAAAAGAATATGTTCTTTACTATTTAAATCAATCCCCATGAATTTCAAAAATTATAAATATAATAAAAATTAATATATGAAATCTGATATGATATATTCCCAACTATTATAGCGAAAATGAGTATACATACACACATGCATATATACATATACATATACATATATATATTAGGATTAAAATTTACTTTAATATATATTTGTTTATATTTTACTATTTAAATCTATCCTCATGAGTTTTAAAAAATATAAATTTGATAAGATATATATATATATATATATTAATCTATTTAATTGTTTTGGTATCATTATGTTAAATTCATATATTAATTCTTCCCATATTTATATAGTTTGGATTCTGCAACCAGTTGTTCCATATGTTATTTAATTGTTTGGGTATCATTATGTTAAATTCATATATTAATAATTCTAGGGTTGGTGCTGTGGTGGTGAAATAAACTTTGGTATGTTATTTCTCGCAGAGACCATACATAGATATAAAAATATTTTATATTTTATATTTTTTAAATTTGTTTTATGAAAAATAAGCTTATTTTTTGACCTCCAACATAGTCAGTTATATGACCTTATCATATAAATTCCTAAACTATACTTTTTTGGAAAGTATGAAAATAGTTGGTTTTGAATTATGAAGATAAAATTCATAAATTCATAAAAAATAACTTATTTTATGGAAATTCATAAAATATATTACTTGCTAACTTACTTTGTGACCTCCAACATAATCAATTATATAATTTATTGATAAAAATTAGTCAAGTGGAATAATAATAAATATAAATTAATTTTAGATAACTTTAGTGTAGAATTATATAGTTCAAATTATGTTATCTTATAAATTAATTTTGGATAACCTTTGAAAATTAATTTTTTCAATGGAAACAAATAATTTATATTTTATAATAAATAAATGTATAGAATATATATAGATATAACTTTAAAAGAGTTGGGCAATAGCATAGATAACATAGGTTCTAGCATCTGAATGTGTGACACTTGATTGATTTTGCCTCAAAATGTTTTAAAATATGAATGGCTTGTGTACTGTGTTAACATGCATTAATTTCTACCGTTTCTATATGTGTGACAAACAATTTCACTCGAGTTTGTATAGAAGCCAGCTTACATATGAGTCAACTCATTTTCTCAGGATACAGATATTAACTCAGTCAACTTAATGAGTTGAGTTGCATTTTTGACAATTATGCTCATACCTATTAATTATTTGTTTTTCTTTTTAAGGTCCAAGTTCAATGCACATAGACAGTGGCTTGGCCCAGCTCCAAGCATGACACCATTGCCTGGATATCGTTAATGAAAGAAGTATGTAATATTTTTGTAATTATACTTTTTTGGTGGTATTATATACCTTCTACTTGTAGTTATATATTGATTGTCCATTATAATATTAT